TATAAAATTGAATAGATTGAATTATTATTAATAACTCAAGTAAAAAAAAAGAATTATCATTGATAACCCATATAATTACATGAGAAATTAATGTAGGAAACAAAAGGATGCATGAAGATGAAATAAGTATAGATAACAAACAAAGTATGGATTTGCACGGCGCGGAACCTCTCCACTTAGGCATTCTCTCCATTTCCCTCCACTAACGCCAAACTATGTCGTTTCCGACCTCTCCACCAATCAGCTTCTTGTATTCCCCTCCACTTGGTCCAGCGACATCGTTTTGCAGTGGCCTAACCTTTAAAAAAAAAAAAAAGACGCTTACTCAATCAAGAGAAAAAAAAATCAAAGATCTCTTCCGATCTTCCAGTCTGATATTGTATAAATAAATAAATAACTCATGAGGCTTGTTATAAATTTATAATAGCCTCTGATGATTGCCTCTTTTTTGTTAAAGACTACTCAATTTGCATGTTTCTCAGTCATATGAGTGAAGGAGGATTGGAAGAGATCTTTGATTTTTTTTCTCTTGTTTGAGTAAGCGTCTTTTTTTTTTTCAAAGGTCAAGCCACTGCAAAACGATGTCGCTGGACCAAGTCGAGGGGAATACAAGAAGCTGATTGGTGGAGAGGTGGGAACCGACATAGTTTGGCGTTAGTGGAGGGAAATGGAGAGAATGCCTGAGTGGAGAGGTTCCGCGCCGGGATTCGCAACCCAACCTATTTAAATATGAGTAGATATTATGAGATTTCATAAGTATATTTAGATGGATAGATAAATTATACTACTTCCGGTCCTTAATATAAAACCTTGTTTGATTTTTATTTTGGTCCTAAATATAATACCTTAATTCATTTTGTCTCTCATATTTGTGTATTTTTTTCCAAGGTAGTTCTTCTAATGATGGTAGTTCTAGCTAATACACTTGATTAGCAATGATATTTTAGGAAAGACAATACATATTTATTACAAATAACGAACTTAACTTATTTCTTAATTTCCTCAAATTAGTCAACTAGTCCTTATAATTAGGACCGGAGGTAGTATATACACCAGTCAATTAATTTATTGAAAAAATAATTTATTTTAATTCACAATATAAGGATGTTGGAGAAGGAGTAGAAATATAAACATGTATATATCTATTAACTAATAACTATTTAGCCTAAATTGTTTTTAGTTGTTATAATTTAAAACATGAAATTTATTTTTACGATGGCATGATAGCCATTAGCCACCTATTGGTGGCCTTTATCATAACTCGATTATGCTTGCCCATTAAGAAAAAAGAAAAAAGAAATATTGGCTTAGAAGATGGCTAATGACACCAAAGATTATAAACAGGACTCTAAGGTTGATTTTTTTTTTTGGTCCAAGAGGTTGAATGTAATTGAAATTAAACAAACAGACGAAAATAGAGATGTGAAGCTTTTATGATTTGTGGTTCAAATGTTCACCAGTACGACAGCTTATGGAAGAAAATCTGGAAACTGCCAGTTCTTTAGTGATGCAAAACCTTCCTTTGGATTTGTGGTAGGGAAAGACTGCACACGAGCAGTTTAAGAGCTTTGAGAGGGTTCCTGAGGCATTCTAGTTGTAGCCTATGTGGAGCTGTGACAGAACATGCTCTCCATGCGTTACAGGATTGTTGCGTAGCTCGTGCTTGTTGGGAAGGAACTCTTCCTGACCAACTCAAACCTAAGTTTTTTGATGGTGGAAATCTAACAGAGTGGATCAGTTGGAATATTGGGATTAAATGCAAAGTTACGGAGGTCCCTTGGTGTGTTGGTTTGCTGTCTTAGCTAGACAAATATGGTTGAATCGCAATGACAACATTTTCAATCACAAATCAAGGTGGTCCATCTCCATTTATTGCCCAATCCAAAGCTACTATTGCGTGCTCTAATACGAGACTAGATGGTTGTGCTATCCGGATGGGGATCACGAATAGATGGCAGCCTCCCTTTGTGGGCTATGCTAAGATCAATGTCGACAAAGCAGTTGAGAATGGCAGTTTGCTGGCAGCTTGTGGTGGCGTTGCCTGGGATCATGAAGGGCACTTGATGGGTTTATGTTCCATATTGGAAAAGGAACTAGTTTCCATGCAGAAACTTGGGGTGTGCTTTGGGGCTTGAAAAGATCTTGGGATACGCAGTGGAGAAGGGTTGTCATTGAAACAGATTGTAGAGAGCTTGTAGATCTCCTTCACACAAGCTGGCACAATGATCATTCGGAGAAGGACCTGTTAGACGAGATCCAAGGGTGGATCGACAAAGATTGGGGCATGTGCGTATCTTGGTGTGGACGCGATGCAAATAGGGTGGCTGACACTCTGACCAAAAGTTTGCTGGATGTTGCTAAGAGCATAAGTTTTCTGTACCCCCCCCATTTTGCTGTTAATTTGGTGATGTCTGATGTAGAGTAGTGGTGCTTTTGTTGGCTATCAAAAAAAAAAAAAGAGACGTGAAGCTTATTTTTGTTATGGTGAATTTGATATGGATTTATGCATCGTATGTGATGCAATAAATGAACGAAATTACTCATATTCTATAAATATTGTGGTCTGATACACACACACATATATATTTCATAATGAATTGATCGGTCTAATTTTTTTATTAATTGCATTCAAAGCTACTTTAGAAAATCTTAGTACTAGTTTTTCGGGCCTGAAAGGAGAATCTTATCGCCGAAGAGAAAAGTGCTGCAAGATGAAACAATTATACATTGGCCATAAAAAATCACAAGAGCAAACCATGTGAGGAAACAAGCTCACAGATATTTCATATTATCGCCAAAAAAAAACTCACAGATATTTAGGGATTGTTTAGTTTCTTGTTTTGAAAATGATTTTTTGTTTTTAAAAACAGAAAAACAAAAAAAACTTGTTTGGTAAGTTGTTTTTAGTTGATTGTTTTAAAAAACAAAAAAGGGTTAATACAAATTTTAGTCCCTCAAATTTGGGCCCAATTTGGTATTAGCCCCTGAAATTTAAAACGTGTGGTATTAGTCCTTTAAATTATGTCCGTTTCAGACCGTTGGTCCTTGACATCTTGGCACCGTTAAATTTTGCTGACGTGGCGTTAACACCGTTAAACTGATGAGTTGGCATATGACCTGGACATGATATTGGTCCCTCAACTTTGGAGTCATTTTGCTATTGGTCCCTGAAATTTAAAACCTATGGTATTGGTCCCTCAAATTATATGTTTCTGGCCTTTGGTCTCTAATAGCTGTAGGCCCTCCTCTTTTTATTTGTTCCTGTAGAACCCTCTGCTTTGCCCTTATCTGGTCTCGGCGGCTCTGGTGGCTTGCTAGTCGTGCCTGCCTTTTTGTTGGAGTTGTCGGTGAGGTTCTTGTTGCTTCTTCTCAAGCTTCTTACTCTGGTGATGGGCATCTCTTTTTTCTTGGGAGGTTCATCATCATTTGTACTAAAAGAAGATGGCTTCAATGGGAGTGGTTTTGTATCTAAAGCCAACTTCTTCTTCTGATGAACTGTTAAGTCACCCTTTTGGCCAAAGGTAGCAAAGGAGGTAGAAGGTTAGGATAAGAATGCACTGTGTTTCCTCCACACTAATATAAGAGCAGAAGCTCTGTGTTTTGACAAAAGTGAATCCCAGATTGTATAGATTCTCTTCGCCCATAGCCTTCCATTGCTCATGCCACATCATCAAGCTTTAGTTGCCAAGTCAAATGCCATATCATAGGTTAACAAAGTTAGAGCCAACTCAGACAAATTTGACGGCCTAAAACTATCAAGAACCAATGGCCAAAAACAGATATAATTTGAGGGACCAATACCATTTATTTTAAATTTCAGGGACCAATACCAAAATGACCTCAAATTTAAGGGACTAATACCATGTCCAGGTCATATGCCACCTACATGCCAACTCATCAATTAACGGTGTTAACGCCACGTTAGCAAAATTTAACGGTGCCAAGATGTCAGGGACTAACGGTCTGAAACGGATATAATTTGAGGGACCAATACGACACGTTTTTAATTTCAGGGACCAATACCAAATTGTACCCAAATTTGAGGGACCAAAATTTGTATTAACCCAACAAAAAACAATAACATATTTTTAAAAACAAAAAAACCAAAAAAACTTTTATATGTTTTTCTATTTTTGTTTTTGTGTTTTTTATTTTTTGTTTTGAAAAGTTTTGAGAAATCTTTTTCTCTTTTTACTTACTATCCACTACTTATTATTACCAACGGTAATTATCACCTACCAAGTATAGTTTTCTATGTTTTTTTTTCAAACATGATTTTTTAAAATTATGATCCAAACAAATTCTTTTATATTTTGTTTTCAAAACTTGTTCTAAAAAACAATTTTATAAAATTGTTTTGAGAACAAGAAAACAAAGAATAAAAACAAACAAGCCCTTAATATCTACCATCGTGAGTGAATCTAATACCCAGAATCTTAAATTGATCAAACATCTTCCTTGATTTAATGATGACTTGGATCTTTAAAATATCAGACGTGATCATAAAATGATAATAATTGATGTGGTAAATTAATTAGTCGTCGTTGTTCAACAATAACGAGAGTAAGTATCAGCTTGTAATTCTGGTTAAAAAAAAAAAGTATCAGCTTTTAATTTTACAGTGTGCCAAAATTCTTGCTAAATGCCAATAACACTTCAAGCAATTAGAAGATCAAAACTTCTCCCTCCTTGGTGAAAGCCCAGAGCTTCTCAACTTCCAGTGAAGCCTAAAATGTTTGAAAATAAAACCATCCAAAGTTTAAAACCAGAACTCCAAAACATCCATCCATCCATCCATCATCCACACAAGCTCATCAGTTTTGTCAATCCAAAGCTCAATCACATTCTCTCGTCTCCCTGCGAAAAGTTCATTCACTTTTGCCTCTGGACTTTGTGTCATCCTTGTGAGTGATCCATATGTGCTAGAGCCAAGGGGAGACAGGGCATGCGCCACGTGACCAAATAATCAATTTATATATTTTACCAAAACGAAAATACTCCTAGAATGTTGTAAAGTTAGAGAAAAGCTTTAGCAATTTTTCCTGTGTTTCTGGATAGAACTTCCTCGCAAACAGATAACAAGGTCGTTGTAAACCGTTCCATATGCACGGTGTAATCACCAATGTTCTCTGCAAATCACCCCCAATTCCACTATCAACACCAGCAATGTTGGTATATATATTGACAAGTTAATTTATGTTTAATTGCATGTTTGGTTACCAAAACCATGGTTCTAATGGTCTTTGACATGGAATCAAATGCGTACTAACATAAAGAAAACCATGTGAGATTTTATATGACTTAGCTTCTTACCTGTGCGTCACTTGTGTAATGCGGACATTCTGTCACAGACTGCATTCAGTGAACCAGATAATGTCATATTAAGATTGTAAGCAAGTGTTTATGGCTAGGAGAGGAAGCTAAAACTCCAAATACGTGAAATACGATTCTCTCCAGGGTAAATTTAAAATTTTCACTTTCTTTTTTATCTATCATTTTTTCCCACAGCTGACAGAAGCTCAGAGATTGTCAAAATAGGATCAACGGGGAACTGCTGCCCACATTAGAGGGTATGATTCAAGCTGCTTCCTTTAATGATTACACCAGAAGAACAGTTTTCTTTCACTTTTCCACTCAAAACTGCCGAGTCTAACTAAAGAAAGAGAGTAAGGTGTATGTTACGCACTGAAATCTTCACAAGGAGGTCGTGAGTGATATCCACGGCTGCAAATGATCTTGGATGCCATTTTCCTTCAGACCAATCAACATACGTTACCGACCAATTTGCAATTCCACCAGGATCAATCATCTGAACATACACCAAGTAAATCAGCAACAAGATTAGAAAAGAAAGGAGAGAATGCTTTGTATGCTGCAGTGAATACAAACACGGTAAAGTTCTGAGCACTGACATGAAAAAAGGTTTGAAGGTAATGCTCATCAGCATAGCAGTTGCGTCCTCCCTCCATATTTGGCTGCAGAAGTTTAAAACATGAGTGTAAAGCTTGTAAGGGAAATTTCTAGACTTGCAGATTTCTTTCTTCCAAGTAACGGGTAAAGAAATACTCCTCCCAACCCTTAATGTAGGACCTAGTTAGAAAGTTAATGTTAGTCTTATATATAAGATTTATTTCATATGTTTATCAATTTTCTTTTCCAAATTAATCATATTAATATTCTCCCAATAATAATCATGTAAGAGAGGGAGGGAGAGAATTAAGGAAGATGCCTAGAGTATTTTAGAAAAAACTTACCGTATCAATTAATTTAACTAATATCCTTAATTTACTCAAATTATTAATTAGGTTCTACTTTAAGGACCGGAGGAGTATTATAAACAAGCAAAGTGAAGATATAAACTCATATATACTTCTCTGGAGACACAAAGAAAGAAATAAATATTAACCCATTTGTAGCTAAACAACAGAAGAGAATTACATAAGGAAGATAAGTTGTCATCTTCAAAAGCTAAAGAAAACAACACAAAAAACTTTTCGGTTGTTGAATGTAAGATATATACATTTATATACATATATATATGGTTATGTATAAATCCTCCGCAAAATTAATATTCTGCATATTCCAGGAAACTTCAGGATATTCTGCTCTAACTGCATGCTTTCTAAAGTGTTTTGTTTTATGAAGTTAGAATTTTGTTTCCAAGGGAAAGTATAGACTACGGAGAATAGTTACAGCGAAATGAATCAGAGTGGTTCAGGGTTGCCCTAAGCTCTCATTTCATCAAGTAATCAATAAAATATATTTTAGGTCCACCCAATATGGCTTTTAACGGAGGTAATAGGATAACTGCATATTGAATCAAATAATCGATTCAACCAGAAACCACATAAGCTTCAAGCAAGTGATTCGTTTGAAACATTATACCCTGCAATAATGCTTAAATTTTGTGAAGTAGAGATTATCAGCCATCACTATTATCGCATGCCGCCGCTTCAATGAGAACCACTGCAGTACAAATATGATCCAGGTTAGTTAAAAAAGAAAGTGATCTCCAACATGTGTACATTTCTCAAAGAAGAACCACATTTTGATCCAAATCTGAAATATCAGACAAGAGTAGATTGTCTGCTAAAATCTTGCGCCACAAAGCTGGGTGTGAATGGAAGGTAATTCAATAGTTTTTTTGGCCGAGGGATGGTTTCCATGTTATAAAGAGGCAAAGACCCTTTTCATAAATGAAGTCAACAACATTCTTTCAACACACAGATCCCCATGAAACTACATACAAAAAGATAACGTTTACCAAAAGTACCTATACTATGAACTTGAAAAAAATTACATCCATGTGGACACTAGAAGTTTAAATCAGGCAGCTCTCAACATCAACAGAAGTTATACCTGTGAACCCTTTCGGAAATCCTTTATCTCTACTTCAGGAAGCATGTGTTCAATATACCTTCCATTTCCATGAGGACCAGGGTCCACAAAGCTTTTGTTTTTGGCCATGAAAAGGAAGAAAAATAGAGACAGGTTAGACTGGATTTCCACAAAAGAATTCAGCAAGGGAAACTTCTCATGATACGAGAGAAACTTATTTTACAATGTCTTACCAGTCAAGAAAGCTGACATTTGCATACAACAAGTAGTTGTACACAAATTCAAAGTGACGCACAGGTACACAGCTGAAATACAAATGAGAAGATATAACTAAATAGAATGAATCCCTTAAACAAATCACGACTCAACAACAAGAAGAAGAAATTAAAAAAATACATATAAAACACCTTTCAGATAGCAGGACAAAATGTTGGTTATCAGGGTCTAGAAGTCCATTCGCCAAAAGTCTCCTTTCAGCTTCAACCATGGAAATTCTTCCCCAGGCTACCTGTAAAATTCTGGTATCAAGACATGATCGCATTTGTATGAAATTCTGTAACACCATTCAAGTTATACTAAGCACTTGATAAAAATTATACACATCCTGTCATATCAACTGGCGGACTTCAAACTTAGTAATTATAGTTTTGATTTTTCACAGAGCAACTGACAATTTGGATATTCAAATATTGTATGCTGCCCCATACCGATTCACTGTGAATGTCTCGACCAACAAAATAACGGCTGACATGCGTTGGTTTTTCCTTTGATGCATGCACATAAACTGAGAATCTGCCTTCATGGCCCTGCATTTTGATATAAGTAGAGTTCAAAATTGTATTTATCATGTCCAAAATTAAGACGAAATGCTATTTAGTAATTACGGGCAAATGTTACAGTCTTTAATGTCTCATTAAAAAAAAAAAAAAAAGCGGTTGTCATACCAGTATGTGATATGCTCACTAAAAGTAAATCCATCCTATCTATCACTGCAATGTCACACACTAGAGCTTGCCACCCAATTCAAAACAAACACTTTTACAGTGAAGAACGATCATTATTAGTGCTTTCATGTTAAAGAACTTGATTTATGTTATTCCTATCCCTGCAATAATGAGGCAGACATGATACTCAAGGAAAGGGGGGATGATGCAAAGAAAAACGTTTTGCAAATAAGTTGGCTAAACCTCTATTCTTTTAATTCTTTCAAGACAGTAAACAAAAGCATATAAAAATGTGTAAGAACATCGCCCTACATAAAGATTATTTACTAGATATAGAGGTTAAGGAGCGAAATTAGTGGTATCAACCCTACACGAGAGGTAGCCAAATGAATACGGTAGCAAGACCTTGGAAAAATCTGTTTCATAAATTTAAAATGAGTTGACAGAGTTAGTGATGCACCAAAAGAGATCCATTGTAGCTCATGAAGTGCTTAACTCCATTCTCATAGCAAGTTTGCTACATAACCGAAACAAGTTAAGATATGACTGAAATTTACACCTACGAATAAAAATGCCGAAACTATATCTGCTGGAGAATCCACAGATGCAGTTTATTTGATAGAGCTACGGAGAAACTTAGGGAAAGGGAAAATCAAATATAGCAGTCATACTAATAAATAATAATAGAAAGAAGACATGAAAGAAAACTCAACGGACTAATGATTCCATACTTGAAAGAATGCGTGCCAGAGCTTCTCGAAAGGCAATGTACCCGGAGTCAAAAACAGAAAAGCAATCTTAGGGTTCTTTGTATGGACAGGTGGAGTCTTCAGAAGTTCCTTGACAACAACCTTAGATTCAGTTTCAGAATCAGTCAATTCACGGGTAGCCACCCCTTCATATGCTCCACAAGCTTCAGAGTCAAACAAAAAGCATGATGCAGAACTTCTTGGTAGATAAAAATAAACAGCAGTCAGAAAAATGCTCGCTACAGAAACCAATAAGATAGTCCATATAGGCCTCTTTATCTGTGATCGCTTTCTTGTCCCAAACATGATCAGAAGATCACTTATGCGTTGTGGCCATGCAAGTAAGTGATTTCTTTGTTTAAAACAAATCAGCAACTTCTCCAGACATCTCTCAATTTTTACATTCAACACAATTTGGCTGTCATGCTACCTAAGACAGAGTAAATCAAACATTATTAAACTATCAGCAGATGAGGAAGTGAAGAACTCACATGCATAAAGCTTCAGGAACATGTTAGGGAAATGCGAAATGAGAGGCATAAATTCTAATCAGAGGGTAATCAAATAACATACAATTCACAACCATCACTGAGATGTAAGCTTCCTAATGAACAAAGAACATGCATTGATGCCATTGCTGTCAAAATAAAATTCCGCGAAAAGTTGAACATCCTTTCGCAAAGTGTTACAGAACATAGAAGAGCTCATCAAAGACTCGATCGAATTGAAACCAAGAAGTAAGAACCTCTCCCTCAAAAAGAAGCCAGTAAGCTAAAAGATCAATTCACTCTGAATGAGCATCACCAGTCTTTTCCCTGTTTTCCTGAACACAATCGGATTTTCATGTGCCCTCGATTCGACGTATGAAATATGAATTGTAAACGCCAAACCAGTCATGAACATTGAACAGTGTCAAGTCCGCATTTTACGCAAATTATCACATTTTTCCCACAGAAGGCCACCCGTTTTTATCTCATAACATGAAGAACGTTTCGGACAATGGTACGAAACAGGAATGGATCCTCACAGAAACTGGTTTGCGGATGGAGACAGCGACGTCTCAGATTATATAACAACAGAGCCCAAAGGATCGAATCCGTGACAACAACGAAACGGATAAGCACAATACATTAAATCACACAATCATCAACCACTTTGCCAATGAAGGAATAAAAACAAGTGAGAAGCCAAATTCAAACGACAATGACGTTCAGGGATAGTGTGGATACCTGTGATCCAATGCAGGGGGATCGAAGAACTGAAATTAAAAAGGAAACAAAAAAATGATATGAATGTGATGGCCGCATATGAGGATCCGAAAAAATAAAAGGAAAGATAGGGAAGTGGTGAAAGGGAAAGAGGGTTTCACAGTTGTGTGAGAAAATGCAGCAAAAGAGAGTATAGAGATTGGAGGAGTGGTGGTGAAGGAAGAAGGATGGGAATGGGAGGTACGTTGGTCTGTTTGTTGCGTGACGCAGGGTTGTCAAAGGAATAGAAAAGAGAGGAGAAATTTGTGGGCCTTTTGCCACGTCATTCGACAAAATGCTCCCAATTTACCTCATTCTCGACTCTCCACGGTACGGCGCATTAATTTTTAATTCTGTCTTTTACTCATTTCTGGGACCGTATCCTCGTACGGTCTTTTTTAATGCTTACTTGCTTACTCATTATTTGTCAAAAATTGGAAATCTTGTGATGGCCAACACAAAAGGCTAAAACTAAAGATCATGTAATTTTAATGAAATTTCGATGATATTTTATTATTTTTAGATTTTTCTTAAAATTTTTACTTCCAAATTCTGTCATTCTACGTGCACTGTGCAGTGTGACCTCATTCTTCCTAAAAGGCTAAAACAAGTTTATTTCGTGAGGCATTAAAAATTTACTACATCCGGAAACCGACCATTATTATGGTGATATGTCGTGATAAAGGCCGATTTTCTTTCCTTGATTTTGTAAATGAATGCCTATTTTAAATACCATTTTTATTGGAGTACCTACTTTCTACATAATGTGATTTTATTTGAATTTATTTTGTATACAAAATTTATTTCATTTTATGCAATCCCAATTAAAAATGTATAAAAATTTATATATCGATAGTCCCGTGTTTATTTTGATGCAACATTAATAGGTTTTTTTAATGTTGCGCTTTTACACTCTTTCTTGGCCATATTTTAATTCATCCGACGAAATTGATGTGAGAAAGAAGTATAATTTTCACCTTTTATATATATTGCCTAATGATTTTCACCTTATATATAACATATTGTCGTGATATATTTATGTAGGCAAAAAATTATAGTAATATATTTATGTCAGGAAAAAATATAAGAAAAATTGGTAAAAAAATTCCTGTTTAAAAATTTAATATGACCTGAATTTGCATGCATGTGAGTGTGATATGTGAGTACAATATATCTTTAATTATATGCAAATGATTTTTATATTAATGATTGTTGCGCATTATTAATGGTGTGTTGTACTCACATATTATAATTACACTTGTTTAAATTTATATCCTTTTAGTCAATTAAATTTTTAAATAAGAACCTTTTTTACCAATTTTTTCAAAAATATAACACGACAAGACCAAGGCTGCCTGCTGATGGAGTAAATCGTAAATCCTTCACCCCCATGGCTGAGTTTTATTCTCGTAGAAAGAAGTCAAGAAAATATCACCAGAGGACAATAAAAACTGTCACAGAATAAAATTAATTTGATTCCAGATCTACACGAGGTGGAATAAAATAACTAAAAAAATCAAAATTGGACTCGTTACCTTTTATCCAATTTAATTTCACGTAGAAATTAATTGAGATGAATATTCTCCTTTATTAAATATCATCAGAAAAGATTGCACAGTTTTCCGTTTTTCTATTTCGTTCCCAAAAATCTACGGGCAATTACCTAAAATGTGGTAATATTTTTGGAATCTGATTAACTTGCTGAACTGTATCTAATTGTTAAAATATATTTTAAAAATAATCACCAATAATTAACATGTCATTGGTTTATAGTTGCATTGTAAACTATCTCTTATATTTATAATCGGAGTTAATATCTTATTCTGTTAATATTCCATCGAAGGTTAACAGACAGATTTGCTTCTTCCACCGCGAATTCATACGTTTTTCTTTTTACGTTTTACATTATTTCATTATCCCAAAAAAAAAGAAGCCCCTTTTTATTACCTGTTACGATCGATGTTTTCATTATGCATAATATAAAAAACAAATCAAATAACACGCCTTCATCTTCCCAATTATTCTTGGCTATGTTGATCACGTAGTTAAAGTGACACATTCAAATCTAGATATTTATTGAGTATATTATGTTTCACAATAATAAATTATTTGTATGTTAATGATAATGGGTCCGTCAATTGATTAGCAGTAACTGATTTGATTGGAACCGTTGCCAAGAGAGCTAAGTACGCGCTGCAAATTAACACGTGCCGATAACAAATGGTTTCTTATTGTCTCAATAAAGTAAAAGTTAAATTGAAAATATGCTAGGATTATCGCTACTGTTCGGAAAAAAAAAAATCCGAGCATTTGTATCTCACTAAAACATAAGAGTGTTTATGAGGTCCAGTAGCCTGGTATACCCGTCTAAGCTCAGCAAAAAAATGTCCTGCCCAGCCCAAAGAAAAAAAAAGGACATTGTTAGCCTGGGCTATTCATGAACAGGGCTGGGTCGCGGGCACGACATGCAGCGCTGTCTATTTGGCCCTACTTGAAATATATATAATTATTTATATTATAATATATATTTTTTCAGAATTATAATATATATAGTGTAATATTAATATACTATATTACATTATTCTTCATTACACAAAAGGAACATTTCTCCCTTATATTATTAGCTTTATATTTTTAAAGTTCTAGTTTTTTCAAAAAAAAAAAAACATACCATTTTTTTTAACTTTTTTAAATTATCTTGCTGTGTCCTATGATTGTCTTTTAACTTTTATATGTTGATATTACTTCATATATCATGAAATGATACTAATTATACCAATTTGAATGTAATATATAGATCTCTATAAATTATATTAAACTATAAGGTAATGATATAATTGAACATGTTAATATAGCTTGTATTTTTTTATATGTTTTGTTATTTTCTCAACTTTGTGGTGGTTGATGCAAATCATTTGGACTTTAAGATTTTAATTACATTTTTTTATTGTCTTGTTTTTAATAAATTATGGATATTATTAAATTCTTAAAGCATGGATATCTGTTAAGACATACGGCAGTTTTATGACTCAAGTTATAAATTTGGGCAAGAAAACCTTGCTCTGTCCAACCTGCAATAGCCCAACCCAAAATAACACGGGCTTCTACTAGGCAGGGCGAGGCACCGAACTGCATTTTGCAGCCCACTAATCCTTCGAGCAGGGCATCAGGCAGGGATCCTGTCCTGCCCAGCCCTACCCATGCACACCCCCTACTAAAATGGGCAGAGCGGACAAAAAATGTCAATGAGTCCATCCTTAAAAGCCAGAAAAACGAGGTTGTGAAATTTTAATAAAAATAATAATACTTTCTATTCTAATTATAAAACCTCATTTATAAATTATAAATAAGGTCTTATAATTAGGATTGAATGTAGTCTGTAAGATAAAAAGAGTAATAAAAATTAAATAAAAACTTTTAATTCAACTTTTTCAGTTTTTTTTTAATCAGGCTTATTAAAATTTTTTCCTCCTTTCATTCCATCATACCAAATACTGTACACCCTAAAATGGTAAGTTCTGTTCGCCAAAAAAAAAAGAGAGTTAATATAATTTTTGTCTTTTAAATTTGTCCTCATTTTGGTTTTAGTTCATTAAGTTTTAAACCATACATTTTGGTCTCTTAAGAGGCAAAATGATCTAAATTTTTATTGGATTATACTCCTCCGGTCCTTATTATAAGACCCAATTTGACTTTTTATTTGGTCCTAATTATAAGACCCAATCCATTTTGTCTCTTATATTTATGCATTTTTTTCCAAGATAATCCTTCTAATAATGATAGTTTTAGCCAATATACTTAATTAGTAAGGATATTTTAGGAATGACAACACTTATTTATTATAAATAACCAACTTAACTTACTTCCTTAATCTCCTCAAATAAGTCAATTGGGTCTTATAATTAGGACCGGAGGAGTAGTATCTAATGTTTAAATGAGGAGAAACTTAAAAGATCAAAACCCATAATTTAAAACTCAAGAAACTAAAACTAAAATAAGAGTAAATCTAAAGAACTAAAATTTGTCTTAACAAAAAAAATATATAGCAAGTTCTGGTGAGGTAAACCAGATGCCTTCTAATTACTGGGGAGTTTTTGGATCTAGGTAGGGACTAGAGAGGCGTTCTGGTATCTTGTGTATGTATAATACCACCTCTAGTCCTAATTATACGGTATTATTTATAATTTATAAATAAGATCTTATAATTAAGATTAGAGGTAGTATATGACGTTTCTTGGGCCACTTGAAAAAAACAAAAAAAAAGTAAAGAAAAGATAAGCATACATTGACATTTTCGTTGGGCCGCCAAATTAACACAGCCACGGAACAAATATTGTTAGAAAAATCGGAGGCAATGTAACATAAAATACTATATTATTAAATAAAAAATGGGAAAGGCTCCCACCGCATTGTGTCCAACAGCATTTATTATCTTGAATATAATGGTCTCAAATAAAAAAATATCCATGGGTAGAAAAAAAACTATTAATTTATTCTAAATATTGGCTTATTTATTAGTGGAATCGGTTAAAAATTAAATTTGATTTTATATGGTAAATAGATATGACTGTATAAATAAATTTCATAATATGTCATAATTGATTATTTTGTAGCCAAAAAGGATGGCCCCCTGTCCAATTAAAATGTCTCTTAAAAGTTCATAAATCCTTCTTATGAATTTAATTTTTGATAACGAGAAACAATGTGGCTTAAAAATATGCCACGGTAACAGATAAGGCGACGAAGAATTGCCTACGTGGCAGCACTGAAACCCAATAGTTGAGTTCCCGGGAGGATCCAGATTGATTTTTGGGAAAATTTCACTGAAGGACCGCTGAAGGCAATTAATTTCCAATAGCCCCCAAAACAATCTGACAAGCCACTGCAGGACCATGGGGGTGAATTGATATTAATTTCAAAACTAAAAAGACAGTGTTGCCCCTCAAACTATTACTCTGAAATTTGAAGTCTTCTCTCTCTCTCTCTCTCAACTCCCGATATCTGAAGCCCCTCTCGCTCACTCTCTAAAAATTCCAGTTCATGCAGTGAAGGAGATCGTTCACCTCACTGTCGCTACTGTTGTGCTGAGGAAAGATTTTGCCATCGTCATTGCTCTGCTGCGGAGAGCCTTCGTTGTCGCCCTTGCTCTAGCAACGAGAGCCTCCATCACCGCTCTTGCAAGTGTTGGACGAGAGCCTTTTGTGTAGATATGAAGCTGGTTAAACTAGAAAAGCTTGCAGGAACGCGAACTCTACATGAATTTATTGCTGAATACAGTTTGTTTTTATTTTAATAAACAGCTATTTTTGTGTACATATGAACCTCAATATGTATTTTTGGAATGGTTCACGAAGTGGCTATGACAATCCGTGAGTTGAAATCTATTTTGTATGGCTATGAATAGATGGAGAATTTCATGATGGTACTTAGAGGTAAACTGCCCTAAGTACTGAACTGAAACTAGCTAGCAACTATATAAATGTGTGAACAAATTAATCGACTTGCAAATGGACGTATTTTTATTGTTAATGCGTGTATTCTTATTGCAAAGTTCCTAATTCCACTTGTAAACAGTCACTTCCAGATTTGTGAATTGACGTGTTCAACTTTTTAAATGAAATAAATCTACTTGCAAAAGGACGTATTTCTATTGTTAACGAGTGTATCCGTGTTGCAAATTTCCTAATTTCACTTGTGAACCCTCACTCCTAGGCTTGTGATAAACTTTTTCAATTGAACCAGCTCACTTGCAAATGGATGTGTTATTCTTATTAATATACACATCCTATTTGTAAATTTTCTAATATCAGTTACAAATGATCCCTCCCAGACTTGTGAATAATCATGTTCAACTTATTGAATTCAACTAGCTCACTTGTAAACGGACAAATTCTTGCTGTTAATATACTTATCCTTCTTGCAAATTGCCTAGGAAGCACTAGTCACAATATCCTTTGTGTGATAGTCATTTTCTATTACTCATGAGTTCATTCATTATTTTGAGTTTGCATTGATGCGCTTGTGTTAATCTATTGACAGTACTTATTGTTGTGTCACAAGAATAATACACTTCACTAAAGTCTGAGTTGTGGTGACTCATTACTCCAAAAGAAATACACAATCAGTTGCTATTGCAAACTACTTCAACGGATAAAGACAATAAAAAACAAAACAATGACGTAATGTGTTAAAATTTGTGTATGGAGAATTTGCACGATTTTTGTTTTAGGGAATATACTATGAGTAGGTTACATGTCAATTAATTACAATTTGTTGTCTTTCCCCACTAGCTTACAAGTATGTGATGTACTATTGACAACTCGAATTAGAAAATTTACAATAAGAATATGTTGATTAACACTTTGATGTCATAGGTATTTGGTTGTCATATTGGCAATTAGAATTAGGAAATTTGCAATAAAGATACATTGATTCACAAGAGAAACTTGTCCATTTACAAATGGACTAATATACTAAAAAAGTCATACATGATTATTCACAAGTCTGAGGAGCACTAATCACAAGTGGAATTAGGTAATTTGCAATATGAATATGCATATTAACAACAATAACCCGTCTATTTGCAAGTGATCTAGTTGAATTCTAGAAGTTGGACATGATAATTCATGTTTGGGAGGGACTATTTGCAACTAGAGTCAAACAATTTGCAAGAAGGATAAGTATATTAACAGCAAGAATTTGTCTATTTACAAGTGAGCTAGTTGAATTCAATAAGTTGAACATGATTATTCACAAGTCTGGGAGGGATCATTTGTAACTGATATTAGAAAATTTACAAATAGGATGTGTATATTAATAAGAATAACACATCCATTTGCAAGTGAGCTGGTTCAATTGAAAAAGTTTATCACAAGCCTAGGAGTGAGGGTTCACAAGTGAAATTAGGAAATTTGCAACACGGATACACTCGTTAACAATAGAAATACGTCCTTTTGCAAGTAGATTTATTTCATTTAAAAAGTTGAACACGTCAATTCACAAATCTGGAAGTGACTGTTTACAAGTGGAATTAGGAACTTTGTAATAAGAATACACGCATTAACAATAAAAATACGTCCATTTGCAAGTCGATTAATTTGTTCACACATTTATATAGTTGCTAGCTAGTTTCAGTTCAGTACTTAGGGCAGTTTACCTCTAAGTACCATCATGAAATTCTCCATCTATTCATAGCCATACAAAATAGATTTCAACTCACGGATTGTCATAGCCACTTCGTGAACCATTCCAAAAATACATATTGAGGTTCATATGTACACAAAAATAGCTGTTTATTAAAATAAAAACAAACTGTATTCAGCAATAAATTCATGTAGAGTTCGCGTTCCTGCAAGCTTTTCTAGTTTAACCAGCTTCATATCTACACAAAAGGCTCTCGTCCAACACTTGCAAGAGCGGTGATGGAGGCTCTCGTTGCTAGAGCAAGGGCGACAACGAAGGCTCTCCGCAGCAGAGCAATGACGATGGCAAAATCTTTCCTCACACAACAGTAGCGACAGTGAGGTGAACGATCTCCTTCACTGCATGAACTGGAATTTTTAGAGAGTGAGCGAGAGGGGCTTCAGATATCGGGAGTTGAGAGAGAGAGAGAGAGAGACTTCAAATTTCAGAGTAATAGTTTGAGGGGCAACACTGTCTTTTTAGTTTTGAAATTAATATCAATTCACCCCCATGGTCCTGCAGTGGCTTGTCAGATTGTTTTGGGGGCTATTGGAAATTAATTGCCTTCAGCGGTCCTTCAGTGAAATTTTCCCTTGATTTTTCTGCGTACGTGGCATCAGCTGACCTATAGAAGCTTCTTTATGTCGTTAGTGGGCGTGCCTCTTCTTTCCCAGCCATGGCTGCTTCTTCCCTCTCTCTGCTACCTCATCCAGTCGGAGGCGTTGATACCCCCAAACCCAAATTCTCATCCATCCATTTCTCCCGTTCAGCTTTGCCTCCAGGTCCATCCTACTCTCAGCAGAGTCGCCGCCCGAAGAGCTTGCAAATTTCGGCCTCGATTTCAGTCTCTAACCCGCAAGTGCGAACCGGCCCTCATGATCTCGTGTCGTCCATTCTTTCAAAGGTAACTGAAGGTTTTATGCTTCTCGTGGTGTTAATTTTCTTTATTTTTCACGTTACTTGCCTTAGAATTTGGAAAATGGAAATGGAAACGAAGAAGATAACAAGAATTTTGTCCTTACTCTACGCTGTAAGCCAAAGCCTTTCGTTATCTTCCTTTTCGGGTTTTTCGGAAGGATGACTACTGGGTTAATCTATTATGTTTATTTGGCCCTATAGATTTTTTTTTGGGCACATCCCGTTGGTATTTTTTTTCAATATCTGGCGAAACTCTTTCTTTTATTCTTGATTGAAATTGTAGGGTCATTGGTGAAAGTTGATTTATGAATGGTTGATTCCGATTGATTTTGTAATTTTTCAGCACCATGATAGTTATATGCTTGCATCCCAGTCATTCAAATTTTGGGTTTATGGATTTTTTTGTCTTCTTTTACATTTTGTGTATTATAATGGCAAGTTATGTTTGGTCCAGGTGATGCAAACAGATGGAGGAGTTTTGCTGAAAGACGAAGAACATAAAGAGGTTGCTGAAGTGGCTCAAGAATTGGAAAAATATTGTGTGAATGAGCCAGTGAAATGCCCTTTAATATTTGGAGGTAATTCCATGATTTGAAGCTACCCTGAGATTGCATTGAAAGGCACTAAAACCGGTCTCTCTGTTTCTCTCTCTGTTTTTTTTTTTTTGGGGAATCTGGCTTCATTATAAATGTACTGGTTTTCATATCAGTAAAAGCCTCTATAATAATCTGTATTTGTCTTTCTCCAAAAGTTTACAGATAATAACTATTCCAATTTGGAAACAAATCTGGTTATGTGTGGGGACTTTTCCACCTGTGCAAGTAGACTCGATCTAAGGAAGATTGAATTGTCAGTTAAAATTGAATTTTCGCATGAACATAGGATATCTAAGAGAATAAACGATGAGACGCCTACGTGTGATTGTTTTAGACTACAGGTTCTCATAGATGCTCAGATGAACCACAATAGCTAGGACTTTCTTCCTAGTTTCCTCCCAACGTGCAACTATTTGCTGGGGCAAGCCAAAATGTACGTGTTCTTTCTATAACTAGCAGAAATGAGGATTGGGGAAGGGATCTAGCCAATAGGTAACAAACTGTACGGGTCCTCCCGTTGCAAGGTTTATAGGGCAAAAGGCCTACACTTTACCAGCCAACTACACTAATTAACGTGAAGCTCACGTCCCATATTTGTAGTGGTGATTTCCAACGTGATTGTTTTCCTCATTCCTTTCCAATTTAGCTCATATAGGACAGGCCATTTTTTGCCCCAGAAAAAAGGCATGGATACAATTAATAAAGTCCACTAATAAATCCCAGATAAATATGGAAGCAGGTCAATCACAATTTTTTTCAATTGAGATTCACATTTGACATGGGTGCATACATGTCTATTCACGTCGTGATTGGATTAGTTCACTTTTTTTTAATAGACAAGGCAAAGATTCTATCAAAGTACTTTGTCTGTTCCTTCAGAAATCAGATCACTGCTTACTTGCCTTTTGCTCTTGTCATTGTTCCAGAGTGGGATGTGGTGTACTGTTCAAGGCCAACATCACCAGGAGGCGGCTACAGAAGTGCGTTGGGTCGCCTTTTCTTTAAGACAAAGCAGATGATTCAGGTTGTTCAAGCTCCTGATATTGTAAGAAACAAGATCTGCTTTTCTCTTTTAGGCTTCCTAGAGGGAGAAGTGTCTTTGAAGGGTAGGTGATCCTATAATTTCATCCTTTATAAAGTTGAACTAGAAATCCGCATTTGGTAGCGATATATCTGAATGTATGGCTTTTTCCCTTCTTTCTAGATAAAATAATCTGATATTTAATACTACTAAAACCAACATGAGGGAACAAGATTTTAGAATCGCTTGAGAACTCTTCTCTCGTGAAAAGGGCATGAATTATTGTGGGTTTTGTTCTCTATAGCTTAATATACATTAGTACTGTCTCGATCTTTAATATAAGAGTTTGATGACTAATTTGGGTAGATTAAAAAAATTAGTTAAGTTGGTTATTTGAGGCCAATATATATTTGTGATAAATAACCTACTTAACTAACTTTTTGTCTTTTTAAATTATCCTCTTTAATCATGTGCATTGGATAATTGAAATTATCTCTTGCTGGGAACCCTTACAATTAATGAGGATATTTTGGGGAAAGATGAAAAATAAAATAGATTAAGATGTTATATTTAGGATCAAATTTAACTTCCAAATAGCATTTATATTAAGGACAAGAGGTAGTGTTATATTTAGAGTTTAATCCAATCTTCAGTGGTAAACTTGTGTGGTGGTTATGTTTATGTTTGCATCAAACAGGAAAGCTAAAGGCTCTGGATGGCGAATGGATTCAAGTTGTATTTGAAGCACCTGAACTGAGGGTGGGGTCGCTGGAGCTCCAATATGGGGGCCAAAGTGAGGTTAAACTCCGAATCACTTACATAGATGACAAGATCAGATTAGGGAAGGGCTCCAGAGGTTCTCTCTTTGTTTTTAAAAGAATGTGAAATTGAAATTCAATTAAAATACTTTCATGAGATATCTGAAGAGATCCTTCGATTTCATATATATCAAGAGAATATTCATAAGTTGAGCTTTAATTTTTGAAAGAAATGGAAGAGTAAATGGTACTATTACGACCTGCAACGGAATCACGTTGCCATTGAGTTGGGTCTTTCTGGACGGAGTTGAAATTACTTCTAATATGTGTCAAATATGAATTCTAAGTAGTTTTTAAATCCACGCGACCCGCTGACCCAATACTCAGTTATTAATTTTGGGCTTATAATAGAAACACGAAACACGAAATAAAGTTAAAAATAACTTAGGGTGTGTTTGGTTGGAGGGGAGGGGAGGGGAGGGAAAATGAGCCCCTCCCCTCATTTGGTTAAAAATTTTGGAGGGGAGGGGAGCTAAAATGTCCCCTCCCCTCCCCTCCCCCATTTTGGCTCCCCTCCAAATTGGGGGTTTTGGAGGGGAGTCAAAATTTTGGACCATTATGCCCTTATAGTTTTTTTAATATTCTACTTCTACCCATAAAATATATTATTATAATATTTATTTCAAATAAAAAATATTATTCTAAGTAAAAAATAAAAAATATATACATTATTATAATTAAAAATATATTATAAAAATTATTTAAAAAATAAAAAATTATTTAAATAAAAAATATAATATATAAAATTAATTGTTTTTATAAATATATTATTTATTAAATATATTTTAAAGCTAGAAAAAAAGATAGCTTAAAGAAAATAAAATTTCATTTTTCTTAGAGCATATAAAATTTGTTAATTTGATTATTTTAAATATATTATTGTATTAATTAGAATAAAAAATTACTATACCAATTTTTAATACACATATTAACATGATAAGACTGAATTTTTATTAAATTATATAATTTAAATTAAGATGTAAATTAATTATATAATATATCAATAAAAAACATAAACTAATATGTAAGGGTAAAATGGTAAATTGATTATTACTATCCCTCCCCTCCCCTCCTTGAACCAAACAAGGGATTATTAAATACCTCCCCTCCTCTCCTTTTTAATCAAACCAAACAAGGTGAGGATAAAACCTCCCCTCCCCTTCCCTACCCCTCCCTCCCCTTAAACCAAACAGACCCTTAAAGAATAAAAAAAATTCTGATGCCTTTATTTTTATAAAATAAAATTTTTAGAAGATTACGTACAAAAAGTCATTATAAAGTTATTTACTACATTAGAAATAGATGTTTTTATTGTGAGCTGCGGGAGATTTTATCTTTTTATTTTTACTTCATAACACATTCCAAAAGAAAATTACATAACTCATAAATTATCTGCAGCAGCATCAGATCATCAATTTTTTTTCCAACCGAAAGTGGGCACCTAATATAATATCTATATCTATCTGGCAAGATAGATATAGATATTTGTAAATAAAAATGAAGATAAGAGGGGTTAAAGAATATTAACCATTAAATTATAATTTAATAGCATTAAGGTAAATATTTTTCTTATTTTTGACTCCTCCGCCTCAATTATTGAATCACGATCTGATCCTTGATTGGGCTCAATTGAAAAGGCTGGGGAAGCTGCTCATTTACTCTGTTTTTTGTGATAGCCAGGCCCAAATTTATGAACCGTTTTCCTTTGGTAGCGTAATTCTTTCTCCCCTCCACCTCTATCCCTGCATCCAAACACGCCCTAACAAAAGCCGCTTTAGAAAGAGGGACATCCTGACTTGTGTCGAAAAAAGAAAAAAAGAAAAAGGAAAAAGAGGGACATACTGACGTCGGGTTGTCCAAGAAAAGGGTGAGTGCTATCGTTGAAGCGCGCGAGTCCTTCCCGCCACGACCGTTTGGAATGGCAGTATGCCTTTGCGCTGTTACAAGCAGAACGAGCTCCAATCCTTTTCAAGGTTGTCCAATACCTTCGTAGTCGAGTTCCGCGTCGCATCGTTGAATTTCCATGCTCTCTCTTTTTGGTCGATTACTAATGAAGAAAATTTTCAGGGGAAAAATGCAAATACGCAGGTCAATCAGTGGTAATCATCTCCAACTTATCTCTTGTTTTGGAATTTCAGATGCTTTAGTTGGGTTCTTAAAGTTCGGTTGTTCAACCTGGTAGCATACCTGTATGTTGAAGCTGTTCCTTGTACTAGCATTACGCAATGCTTAGGGTTTAGCTATGTTCTTTTTGGACGGGGACTGGCTCGTTTGTGCACTATTTAACTGAACAGATGAGATTTTTTATGAGGGTATGGTGATCAAGATCGGATTTCTCTGTTGTCAATATTTCTTTTTTGCAGAGAGCACTTCCTATACGTATATTGTCGGTTGGGAAGAAGCGATCTCCGGGTGTACAACTCATGGTTGATGAGTATGTTCAAAAGCTCAAGTACTATTGCAGTGTCGAGGATGTTCAAATACGGTCTAATCCTAGAAATGCACGGTGAGATTCCCTATCTCATTGGCGCAGTTTTATTTAATTATCTACACTTTTATGGCCAATTATATACAATCTTACGCTCCATGCAGTTAATATTTGATCCAGTTTGTATTTTCAAATTCGGGGTATTGGGTGTTGTAGGTTCTGGAGCAAATTGAAACTATATCTGACTAGGGCTTTTTTTGACTGAATTTTTAGTGATTGCTCTAGGATTTCAGATCTGTGCAGGAAAAGAGATTTGAAGTTGAGAAGAGTAACTTCGGTTCACATTTCTTCTGGGGTTCTTTTTTCTTATAGTCACATCTGGAAGGTTTTAATCTTCATTACTATGTAAACCTACCCCACCCTCTCGTCATCTTATTTTTACAACTCTGAGCTGTCTAGGTACCTATTTCTAGGATTCTTTCGCATCACGCGTGAGATGCATTATCACACATTTTGGCGGTGAATGTTTATTAGTTGTAGCAATAGCCATTATTCTTCTGCGAGAAGGAAACAGAAAGTTGGAGCTTCTTCATGGAAGACACAGTTTTTTCAACTGCACCGAATTCAAAATCACCAATTACAGCAATTACGTTAATACATTTTCCCCCCATCCACCCTCTTAAAATATGCCTTTTGAAGAAAAATAGTAAAAAATGTGACCTTTGGAAATATTTTCCAAACAATAATATCAATAAAAATGCTTATCAAATAATTTTGTCAGACATGAAAGGCATCTTTCTCATAGTGCTTTTAATGAGAATTCATTTGAATAGAGACATTTCAAAATAAGCAGAAATTTGCAGCAATGCAGAATAAGCCCTAAACTCATACTTGAACTTGACTACTGTATCTTAACAGAAAAATTAATGGATACCTCTGAGTGGAAAAGCAAATAGACCAGGAAGTATGGATCTATTTCAAGTGGTCTCAACTTGCTCATGAGTCATGACTTGTTCTGCCAAATGATAATATCGGCACCTTATTTTTGTTTTTCCCTTCTATTATCTTTTCAATCCTCTCTGGTTCATAATTTGCATCACAACAACTTGCACTTTTCATTCTCTGATAAAAGATGATGAGTCTTTTATGTTGTAATTAATGCTTGCATTGCAGTGACATGAGGGCTCAGGTTGATGATGAAGACAAAGCAGTGATGAACCTTGTCAGATCTGATGACTGGGTATAGTCTCAAACAAATGTGGTAACGCAGTATTTTAGCATCTTTATTTGCATTTAATGTTTGAGCAAGAAAACCTGGCCACTTCAAATTTTACATACTGCTCTCGTGTGCATGCACTTATAGGTTGTGATGCTGGATGAGCGTGGGCAAGACATAGGTTCTGAACAAATGGCTGAATTGGTGGCTGATGCAGGACATACGGTAAAGCTAACATCCCATTGTGATACCTCTGTAAATGATCTTTACAATGCATGTGAATTCGTCATGCATGAAAGGGCTTCTAATGAGCATGCTCTTTGCCATTCTGCTCAAAGAGCATGAGGGGTATATCATGTTATGGACCTGGGACCTCCTATGATCTTACTGAGGATCGAATATCTAAGTATGTGAAACAGAAGGAAAACACATTCGTTTTCAGCATTTTCCCAGTGGCACTGTTTCTATGTATTTTTGTTTTCTGTTTTTGGTTTTTTTAAATAAAACTAATTTCAAAGACACGACTTAATTGTCATTCAATATCCGTTAGCCGAATTATGTCTAATATACTTCTAGCTTTGGTTAACAGCTTTTAATAGTAACTTGCATTTTATTAAGTTCTTGGTTTGATCAACTTCGTATTGCTATTTGAAAAAAATATTGTCTGTCAAGCCAGCACTAGGTAATATATTTTTCAAGTCTTGAGAGCAATTAAATTTCTTGTGCTGCAATACCAAGTTTGTGTTTAAGCCATGTTTAGCATTTGTTGCATGTCAAAATCATTGCATTTCCAGTATTTGTTTTGGAGTGCGTTCCCATCACCTATGTAATGGGAAAAAGGTTGTTGATTATACGATTTACAAGCGTTAAAACTTGACAGCATCACTGTGAAAATGCGATTTTTACACGTTCTCTTTGTTGAATTTCTGCTTTCCAGTGGGAGTTACAATATGCTTTTGTTACCAGTTCTCTGGGATGGTAATACGCGTACTGTTCTGTAGGGAGATTTTTGTCATTTTTGAGCACCTAGATATACCCAGCTTTGGACGTCTTGTTCTGAATTTTTTTCCCATTATTTTTATGGGAAAAATAGCTGCTTTTCTACTCTCCAGTGCCGTCCATTCATACCATAACACTGTTGATTTTGTAATGTGAAAGCATCTTCGAATAGTTTCTTATTATGTGAGGATTATAGTTTGACTTTATTTCTAGGGAGCTTCAAGACTATCTTTCTGTATTGGTGGACCCTATGGTCATGGAAGAAAATTGCGGGAACGAGCTAATTTATCTATCAAGTTATCTTCTCTAGTACTAAATCATCAAATTGCATTACTGGTGCTCATGGAGCAGCTCTACAGGTAACAAAATTACAACCTGTTGTAGACCCGAGTAGAAGACTATGTTTCGTTTACTTAATATTTCAGAGCTGAGACCTGATAAGTCGAACGCTACTACTACTCTTTAATATAGGAGCTAGTTGACTAATTTGAATATATTAAAAAACTAGTTAAATTAGTTATTTGTGATGAATAAATGTTGTCTTTCTAAAATATCTTTACTAATTAAATGTATTGACTAAAACTATTATTATTACAAGGCCTACTTTGAAAAAAAAAGGATAAATATGAGAGATAAAGTGGATTGGGATTTATATTTAGGATTAAAATAAAATTTAAATGAACTCTTATATTAAGGACTGAAGGTAGCATTTTTGTTTCCGTAATTGACCTAAATATAATTCATTCATTATTCTCAAGAATTATCGGGGCTTTCCTGCTATTGAGGAAATAACGCTTTGTTTTCTGTTATGTAGGTCGTGGACAATTCTGAGAGGACAAAACTACCATCACTAGGACATTTGTAAATTTTGTGATTTAAAGAGTTTGAGTCTCACCTTTCTTTTATACTTACCACATGTTGATTCTGACAGGCTCTGTTTTGTATTTGCATAATTTGATTTGAACACCTTGGATGGAAGTGAATGGACGAGATGTTTCGTTATGATGGGTAAGGAATATGCATATATATATATATATTGATCGACTTCAAAGTTACTGTGTGAGCTTGTCATACGATTGCAAATAATAAAAAGAAACTTGTCTTTCTCTCTCGTTGCTGCGTCATTCAGCTACAACAAACACTCAGCGGGCCTAGATTTGATGTTCATTACTATGGTAGACGCTATGTACTTGTTATGATGATAAATTTGAACAGCGTAGTTTTAACATTGAAGATTGTAAATTTTTAAATAATGATTTTTTTTTTTTAAAACAGTGACAATTATAAGATTAAAGATATATTAAATTTGCACCTATTAAAATAAACAGCTATTAATTATACAAGACATGGAAGACGACTAAATTGGTAAAACTAAATCGTCCAATTTTGGTCTACATAGTCTATACATTAAATCGTTAATGATGGCCTCTCCATGTTCATTACTCGTAACGAGTATGAAAGGCCTTTCATAGCATATTTTTCAACTTTGTAATTTCTGAAAAAACCTTTTGGATTTTGAAGCAGCGAAGGATCCAGATGGCCTCTGCCGACTCCCCTGAAGTCGGGCTGCTCTGCTGAGGTTGCAGGCGACCAATATGTTTGGATGGAGAATTAAAAAAAGTAACTTATTTTTAAAAAAGTTAGATTTGATAAAATTTATATTGAGTAATGTGATTTGTATTCAGGTTGACTTTTATGAAAATTAGTTTGTAAAGTAGAAAAGTTGTTTGGATTATGGTTGGATAAATAAGTTTAGTTTGTAGAATGATTAGCATAGATATGACTTTTATTAAATAATAAAAGATGATTAAAAACATGAATTTACAAAATACTACCTCCGATCCTTAATATAAGATCTTGTTTGATTTTTATTTTAGTTCTAAATATAAGACTTCAATCCACTTTGTTTCTTATATTTATGTATTTTTTTCTAAGATAATCCTTTTAGCAATAGTAATTCTAACCAATACACTTTTATGTCCAGATTGACTTTTATAAAAATTAGTTTGTAAAATAGAAAAGTTATTTAAATTATGGTTGGATAAATAAGTTTAGTTTGTAGTGTAATAATGTTAAATTATTATGATAGGAAGAAATTATATTTAATGAATAAAATATATTTAAATTAGAAATGATAGTAATGTGAAAATTTTTAAACTAAATAATCTTATATAATTAATTAGATGATATACCTGTACAATTTATGTAAATGTAAAATGAAAGATAATATTAAAAATTAAAAATATTATAAAAATTATGTTAAAAATTATTTTTATTTTAGAAAATATTGAACATAAATAATTAAAAAATGATTAGAAAGTATAAAGAATTTGCAGAGAGAAGCATAAGAAAAATGTAAATATAAACACAAAATTGTTTTTTTAACTCCTTAAAGTTATTTTTGCACAAGTCATACGTAAATTTTCGATATTTTTTTAATCATACTTAAAAAATTAGCTTTGACCATCCAAAAGTCAGATTTATTAAAAAATATTTTAAATAGTTTTTAAATTTATAAACTGACTTGTTAAATATGCAAGTTACTTTTTGGCCCTTTAAACGCCTCATCAAACAGGGCACTCAGTTTTCGGTCCCCCCCATTTGCCGGTCCGGAACCCACAACATTGGACAACGGATAACGACCGGCTTTGAAAATTAGTACAGGTCAAAAGCTTGAAATAAATCCTCAATTTTCCCGCCACTGGCTAACAATTAGCCACGTCATAACTAAACTCCTCGCCACGTGTCAGCAACCCAGTCGATTGACGTGGCTCTTCCTCTTCCCCAGCCGGCGTCTGCAAAAGGAGAACCCAGATTAAACGCTCCTACATGGCCATTCTCTGCTTGACACTCCCCCTTGTCGCTCTCAAAGTGAAAACTCCCATTGATCCATTCAAGTGCGCTTCGATATTCCCAACCGCAACGAGAATTCTGCCCTCGAATCGCCTCCCAGCCATGAATTTCTGCAGTAAATCTGCACGCGCTTCAAGCTCAACGGCTTGGCCAACCTACCAGGTTCCAGAACAAGACGCTAGCGACATGGACCGTGTTGCCGACCAGACCTTTCATAGGTACTCGCGGAACACCGAGAGGAGAGGCAAGGGGACAGCCATTGTTTGGTTCAGGAATGATCTTAGAGTATTGGATAATGAGGCTCTCTACGACGCTTGGCTTGCGTCCGAGTCTGTATTGCCTGTCTACTGTGTTGATCCTCGACTATTTGGGACCACCTATTATTTTGGATTTCCTAAAACTGGGGGTAAGTGTGTAGTTTTTCTTTAACGAGCTTCTTGCTAAATTAATGGTGCTATGGATTGCGTAAATGTTTAGCATCTATTTGATGCGCTTGAACAACATCCCGAGATTTTTGTTCCTGGTTCAAATTGTTTCTTCAGGATGACGAGACGATACAGTCTCCTTCGAGTTATATGTCTTAATTATTGTTTATCTGGCAGCATTACGGGCGCAATTTCTCATTGAATGCCTAGCTGACTTGAGAAACAATTTGATGAAACGGGGACTGAATTTGCTCATTCAACACGGAAAGCCTGAAGAAATTCTTCCATCTCTTGCAAAAGCTTTTGGAGCTCACACAGTTGAGTGATTGAATATAATGCCTACTTTATAAGTTGGTTAAATCAATCAATTTTCAAGCTCTTAATCATTTATGGCTACTGAAGCCACGGGGGTTGCTGTTGAATGTGATCTAGTCAGGTATATGCCCAGAAAGAAACTTGCAGTGAGGAGCTGAATGTGGAAAGATTGGTCAACAAGGGTCTGCAACAAATTGTGATACCACCACTTTCTGGGGAATCCACAGGTGCTATAACTTCAAACAAGCCCAAGCTAAAACTTATTTGGGGCGCCACCTTGTACAATATCGATGACCTCCCTTTTGATGCTGCTAGTTTACCAGATGTGTATACTCAATTTCGCAAGGTACATTAATTGTTTAGCTGACATCGGCATGTTATGTGTCCATGATGAAGCTGGCTTATATTAACACTGAATACTAGGAAAATCAGTACATTACCCCTTCAACAGAGAAGGAAGAGGTTTGATAATCCAAACAGAAAATGACAATTCCTAGCTACAGTTCTTAAAGACTTAAAACAGCAACAGTGATGAAAGGATAACAAAGAATGGAATGTAATAAAGAAGGACTCCCCTGACATTCGAGAGGTCAGCTGCTCTCCTACTCTATCCACATTCTTCTCTGCCTCCTCCAATAGCACGCAACCCTAAAAACTAATTCTGACTGGGCTGGTTGGGCCCCACCTGCCATTTGGGCCCGATTCTGGTTTCTCAATGACATTGGCTATTTTGGGCTGATTCCTCTTATATACGTAGCTGGTCTTAGGGTTGGACTCATCAGTAAATAATCATAATGGGCTTTGGTTCTTTTGAATGCTGATGGAGGCTGAATTTGCAGACTGTTGAAGCCCAATGCACGGTGCGTGCTTGCATAAAACTTCCAAAATCTCTTGGGCCACCTCCTCAAGTTGAGGAATGGGGATGTCTACCTTCATTGGAGCAGCTGGGATTTTGCTCACCAAATGTAGGTTTTGCCGAAACACTTGCATAAATCCTTGAAGCATAGTGACTGTCGAGAAAAATTAAATCTTTTGAATTCAATATTTAAAGGAGAATGGATTTGACATTTCTCTATTTTCTTCTCTTGATAAGGTAAGCAAGGGAATGAAGTTTGCTGGGGGTGAAACTGCAGCATTGAGCAGAGTCTATGAATACTTCTGGAAGAAGGTTAGAAGATATTCATGTTGGCAATGCAAATCCAATTTGTCTTATGTTCCTATTGTTGTATTTGCTTTTTATACGATCAAAGGGTTGGTTCAAAAAGAAAGAAATACCAATGCATCACCTTTTTGAACAAAACATCTATGTTTCATGTATTGGAGACATAGATACGGTTCCATACATGACTGTCTAATCATTTATATTTGCTAGTTGCATCAATGGGAATTTGCACAGAATACAAAGGGATCCGTTTATTTTCATATGTCACCAAAACCAGCGAGATGGTTGAGTAATGATATATTCATCACCTTTGATCTTGGCTCTGCTTCTCAGACTATTAAAGCCTGGAAATGGAGGGCAAGTGGCATGTTGGAAACTCTGACACTGCCATTTGTGCTGTCGTGTATTTCATCCTCAACATTATTCTTATGCAGGATTTACTGAAGGTATATAAAGAGACCAGAAATGGGATGTTAGGGCCTGATTACTCAACTAAGTTTTCACCATGGCTTGCCTCCGGGAGCTTGTCTCCTCGTTTCATACACGAAGAGGTTCAAAATGGTTAATCATCTATATTTCTGCATTTCACTATTTGAAAGATGTGATTGCTTTGACAAAATTCATAGTACACCATTCGTTATAGGTGAAGAGATATGAAGAAGCAAGGCAAGCAAATAGTTCTACTTACTGGTATTTCTCTATATTTTTGTCAGCAGCATTGATTTATTACCAGTTTATTAATTATTCATAAAATGTTAACCAGTCTGTCAAATTGTACTTTAGAGTTGCCTGAATTGCATCAAACTAATGCAAAAGAAAAAATATTGTTTCTTTTTATTTGGCAATATAACATTCTTGGCATGTGTCTGATGAAAGGAATGGTAACAATGGATTATGCATTAATAAGGAAAAGGAAAAGAGACAAGGCTGGTTTTGGAATGTCCGTATTCAGTACCATGATAGATGGAATAATTATGGTTAATTTGACATATTCCTACGCAATTCTTTTTCTCTTCAGGGTTTTGTTTGAGTTGATATGGAGAGATTACTTCAGGTTCCTTTCAGTTAAATGTGGAAATTTTATATTCCATGTAGGTATGATTGAGGTTATGGGGTAAAATTTCTGCTGGTTGAACACTGATTTTGCTCATCCTACATGTGTCAAATAAAATAGACTGAGATAATGTATTTCTGGAGAAATTTCTCTTTATAATGTAGAATTTATCACGTTTTTTCTAGGAGGCCCAAGGAAAGTGTTGTACAAATGGAGCCAAGACAAGAATTTGTTCGAGTCTTGGAGAGATGGCCGTACAGGGTACAGATTTAAGTTTTTGATGCTATGCATTTGTCCTACTCATCCTTGCTGACATTTGTTTGGGCTTTCTTAGGGGTTTATATGGAAATAATTGGACACTAGTGGAGGAGGCATTATAGAATTCTTGTATTCTTCTCAATGTAATAAACTGAAGGAAAGAATACGAGAATGAAGTACTTTACCAAAATTGAAAGAAAGCAATGCGGAAGGGATAACCCATTTATTTGGTCTACTTCAATTGGGTCATTGTTTTTTTTTTTCTGTTTTCACATAATGATTAAATTTGGAAAAATTAAAGAGATGGAAAAAGAAACTAAGGTGACCAAAATATTCTTCATTTTGTTTTTAACTCTTATTATCTCTAAAACTTATTTTCGTACTCTCACTTCTCTGTTTTGACACTAGTAATCATGGAAGTAAGGATCTTACTTACCCTTGTGCTGATATGATTTTACTGGAATTCCTAGGTATCCTCTCATAGATGCTAACATGAAAGAATTATCAACCACTGGATTCATGTCAAACCGAGGACGACAGGTAAACAATAAGTCTAACCACGGTGTTCAACGGTATGAAAATCGTTAGGAATTGCTGGATATTCTGAAGACCGCTACCTTCTAACTTGCACGTGGCCTTATTCCTGAGATATGTATTTTGACTCCCTTTTGACAGATTGTATGTTCATTTCTTGTTCGCGATATGGGCATAGATTGGCGCATGGGAGCTGAATGGTTTGAGACCTGCCTTTTGGATTATGACCCATGTTCCAATTATGGAAACTGGACTTATGGATCAGGTAATTAATTATATTGGTACAGCTATGCCGATCAGCTATGCATGATTCTGAAAGAGTGAATGAGAAGTAATACTGCTTCTTGGGTATTTATTTATCTTTAATTTTCTGTTTTATTTCATTTGTTTCACGTCCCATTTCTAGAACTAATTCTCAAGCTGACAGTTGTGACTGTCCTCAGAGGCATTTATCAATTGCCCTCTGTGCAAAGTAATTCCTAATTATTAAAGCAGCAACCAAACCTGAAATAAGCTAGATGCATATACCCTCATCCAAAGATAGGGTAAAATTCATTGTTATTAAGTGATAATAAGAAGTACCCACATTCCGGGGTGTACTATGATTCGCCTGTTGTGGGGATCCTTGGCTCTGCTGGAAATCTTATTGATTGTTTCTGAGCTTTATGACTCGTTTTTTCACGGGGATCATGTCACCTAGGACGTGTTCAGAATGAGAAGAATGAAAGAAAAGGAAATGAATGATTCAGACGCAATCACGGTTTTCATGATATGCAATGCCAGATTTAGTATTCCTTCTCCTTAGCTTTATAACATATAAAAATGATAAGCTTTTACTCATTCTAAGATCTTCTTGTTCAGGAGTTGGGAATGATCCCAGAGAGGACCGTTATTTCAGCATACCTAAACAAGTAAGTGCCTATAAGGAGTTGCACAAAATATGATGTCTTTTTCTTCTTTAGCACGTAGCACTTAAGAGTCACACAGAAACGAGCTTGTGGTCTTTTTTTTTTTTTTTTTTTGGCCTGAAACAACGAGCTTGTGGTAAATGTGAAAGGTCTGGTACTGAGTCACATCATATGTCATAATATAATTAAAAAAATGACAGTAATTGAGTGGGTAGAGCTTCAAATTTGAGAGTGATGTGATCTGTTCATTTTCAGGC